AAAAGTTGAGCAAAAATCTTTAAAAGAAAAAAACTAATAAAGCATGAAAATATTTAAGTTAACAAATTTACTTTTTTTCTTTTGAGCTTGAAATCTCAGCAGTGTTTAGAAGCAGAGTGAGGATTATAAATGATAATGCATCCCATTTTGTTTTTTTTGTTTATTTTTTAAAAATATTTTATTTTGAGAGAGAGAGAGAGAGCACAAGCAGGGGGAGCTGCAGTGGGAAAGGGAGAGCAGGCTTCCTGCTGAGCCAGGAGCCTGACGAGGGGCTCCATCCCAGGTCCCCGGGATTATGACCTGAGCTGAAGGCAGATACTTAACCGACTGAACCACCCAGGCGCCCCTCATCCCATTTTATTTGGCATTATTTACCCAGAAATCTTTTGATGGTTGCTAGTGAAATAAAAAATAAAATTTTTTAAATTAATAGATGTGAAAATTCAGGTAAAGAATAATAGCATTGTTAAGGACCTATAAGATAATTTATTCCATATCTCTAGCTGCATATACATTTCGACCTAAGTGTGTCTATTGGTTCAGAGTTTCATCAGAGTAATAGAACCAGTAGGATATTCATGTTAAGAGATTAGTTGCTAGGAATTAGCTTCTGTGACTGTGGGGGCTAGGCAGGCTATCAAGAAGGACAAGCTGTACTCTTGGACAAGAGCTGAAGCTGCAGTCCATGAGCAGAATTTCTTCTTCATAGAAGCTTCAGTTCTGCTCTTAAGACCTTTACAAATGATTGAATCCCACATTATCTAGGATAATCTTCCTTACTTGAAGTGATTATAGATCTTGATCATTTATAACAATATACTTTTATAATAACACCTACATTAGTGTTTGAGTTTAAAAACTATAGCTTAGCTATGTTGACTCATAAAACTAACCAACACAGTGACCTAGTAACAATACTGGTTTTTACTTGCAGAATTTGTATTTGTCAGTTTTACTATCTAAATATTTATTTAGATATTATATTTAAAAAGTGATGAGCTTGTCTCATTTTTATTGTGAGTAACAAAGAATGATGCACTAACTGTATTCTAATAATCTAACACACAATTTACCTTTCTTTCTCTTAAGTTAAAAAAAATTTTATTTAAATCTTTCTTCTAGTCCCTCTCCTGATTCAGCTCCTTTATTATCTTTCTTGCTTAATATTGTACTCTCTTCAGTTTCTTAGCATTGACTTAAAACGTACAGTTCAGGCTGTATTTACACTACAGTGATACTTGGCATTCATCAAATATTTGTTAGAAGAAAGATTATTTCACAGTTCTTGTATGTTCTACTCTTTAAAGTTTATCTTAGTGTCACATTTGTTTTTTTATAAATAATGCCACTACATTGTTGACTTACATTTGGCACATTATGATTCCCAGATACTTTTGTCATATTTTGTTCTGTGAAACTGTATTGTTTTTATAACAAACAGAAGTTATTTTCAAACAGTGGTCCAGAGTTTCAGGATGAAGACTCTCTAATGATTTCTTGAAAAAAATGGTTCATATTGGAAGCATTGTTTCGGTCTACATTCCATTACCTTTGGGAGAAACTTTGATATTTTGCCAAGGATTATGTCTCTGCTGTATTAAAATAATGCTTCAGAGTTCCATAGAATCCTGAAGCTTTGGCAAACTCTGCTTTATGATATTTTGAAGGAGTTTCCAGAAGAAGCCTGACAATTTTTTTCTAAATTATTTTAAGCCTGACAAATTAGGGTAGTGCCAAATACTTTGGAAATCTTTCATGGATATGGAGACCTATGAATATCCAACTTAAAATTATAAAATAATGGAGCATGCACATTTTAATGAATTCTGATGTTTTTGTTTTATATTAAGATCAGCACTATTGAGATATTATTATGCCTAGTTTATAAGGTAGACTTATAATTTTCTACGTAGGACAGATCTCTATTTAGATAGTGACTATCATCATATAAGACTCTTACTCATTTCTAATGGTTACATCATGCCTTTGCTCAAGTTCATTTATTAAACAAGTATTTTTATATTAGATACTTATATGTTTGAGGTGCCAGTTCTAGACACTGATGATACATTTGGAACAAGACCTGCATGTTCCTGCCATCATGAAACATGTAGTGGAGAAAAAAGACATTAAATAAAAATGTATACAAATCCGTAGAGTTGAAGTAAGTGCTACTGAAGAAAAGTACAGTGTAGAATAGATTATCTTATAGGAGGAGCAAATTGATTTGGGGATACTAGTAAAGTGTTCCTAATGGAAGTCACATTTAACCAAGGAATGAATAATAATAATAACAAATACTTAGATTGTGATTGTTATGTGCCAGGCACTATTCTTGATCCTTATTATGTGTTAACTTATTTCAACCTAACAACAACTCTATGAGGTAGGTGCTACTGTTTTCCTCATTTTATAGAAGAGGAAACTGTGGCGTAGGAAGATTAGCAAAATTCTCCAAGGTCACATAGCTAATGAGTTGAAAACCTGGGCTTTGAGCTTAGACAGAAGTCTGTGCTCTTAACCACTGTGTTTCATGATAAGAGTTATCTGGGAGAAGGGAATGGGGAAGATCATTTCAGGCAATGTGAACCCATGTGCTAATACCTTAAGCAAGATGGAGGGAAGGCCAGCACGACTGGAAGTTGGTAAGCTAAAGTAACAAAAAATGAAACTAGAGAGGGAGTTAGGGTATTCGGATTTATTATTATTTTATCACTTCAACTTTAGTATGAATATATGATGGAAGGTAATAAGAATTAATGTGAGATCAGTTAAGGCACATTGTACTCTCATATTAAGAGGACGCTGACTTGGACCCATTTTGTGGTGGGTGGAGCAAACTACAGATTCTGGAAACATTTGGGAGATAGAAATAGCAGGACTTCTTGTTTGGATTTGAGAAAGGGAGATTACTCCTAAGTTTCTAGCTGGTGCAGCTGACAAGATGGTGGTACCATTTACTGAAATACCACCCAAGAACAGGTTTCAGGAGCAAAGTATAAATTCAGTTTGAGTTCTGTCAAGTTTGGGGTGACTTTTATATTAGGGTGAGAAATTATCTATAAAAGCCTGGAATGCAGAAGAGAGTTCTGGACTTGAAATAAAATTTGCAGATTTTCAGCCTTGGGAGTAAATGAGGAGAAAACCCAGTATGAAGACCCCGAATCAAAGGTAGAGGAACTAAAAGCATTTCAGTTAGGGTAGAAGAGGTGCCATTGTACAGAGGAAACTGAGGAGAGGCAGCCAGATAGGTGTTAGGAAAACTGACATAATGTTGTAAGACGAAAGCAAAGGAATGCAGCAGCTTCCCATTTGATTTTCTGATTGTATTTGCTTTTTCCTCCTAGAACTTCACAGTTGTACACAATTGCTTCAAGTTCAACTTTGTGTGTTTTTTTCTTTATTGAAGAACTGATTTTCTTTTTATTCTCTTTTTCCTTTCTTCCCCCTCATTAAATGTTCTTTCAAATTTAATTTTAAGTTCCTGTTTAGATCACTTGGAGTCTTTCATCTGAAAGTGATCGCTTTCATTTAGAGCATTTTTAGTTTTTCTGTTTCAGATCATTCTGTATAGTGCTACCACCTCAGATAGTTTCAGCTTCCAAAATTTGACCCATGCAGTATACTGCCCTCCTACCTCACATGATTGCCTGTGTATCATTGTCCTTCATCTCTACTCCCACATGCAAGACCATACCTTGAGCCAGTTGTTACTGAGTGTTCCTTTTGCTGGATCTCCTACTCTGGAATTCTCCTTTCCCATCTCCTGCTCTTTCATTTTTTCGACCTTTCCTACTTTTCATTTTCATCAAACTTCTTTGCAATGATCACTATTCCCAATCTCTTTGCACTCTTACTTCTTTGTTTTATCCTAGTCTGCCATCTATATTTTGTGTTCATCTTCTTCCTTATCTAACTTAAAACCCATTTTGTATAGATATTCACAGAACTCCACAATTTCTTTTAAACCTCTGATCTCTCCTGAAATAACCTTATCAGATTCCCAACCACTTATAAGCCCAATCATACTTTTCTCTCACTCCTCTTACATGCATTCATTAAAAAAACAAAAACAAAAACAAAACAAAACAAAACAAAATTGGGAGGGGTGCCTGGGTGGCTCAGTCTGTTAAGCGTCTGCCTTCTGCTCCAATCATGATCTCAGGGTCCTGGGATGGAGCCCCACATCAGGCTCTCTGCTCAGCGGGGAGCCTGCTTCTCCCTCTCCTTCTGCCTGCCACTCCCCCTGCTGTACTCTCTCTCTCTGTTTCAAATAAGTAAATAAAATCTTTAAAAAAATTTGTCAGACAATGTGTTAGTCATTAGGGATAACCAATGAAGAAAAAAAAAGTGTATGGTCTGACCCTCAGAACTGTGCTATCTTATTCTTAGTTAATCTGTTGGAAAATAAAAATTACATCATAATATTGATGGTGCCCACCAAAATTTTATATTATTACTTAATCTCAGCAGGTCCCATGATGTTACAAATAATCCCAAATCAATTTTCTGTTCTTTCTTCATAGTCATGATTCAGAACATTTCTACTTTTCTCAAGTTTCTGAACTCAGTTGCAAAACTTCGTGTTTGAACTAGACTGCCAAGACAATTTGTCCCTAGCTCCCAATTTCCCCTTCACTTCAAAATTTCTTTATATCTTTATCCAAGCTTTTCCTTTTCCTAATATGTGTCAGAAGAAGGGTCGCTTCTTTCTTCCGAAGGTAAAACTTTCCATCTGTTTTTCCTGATGCACATGGGAGAAACTCTAGACAAAAACACAAGATGACATGAAATTGTTATTTAATGTGTTGTTTTATTACACATCTATTCTGTTGTATAGATCTGGTAATTATGTAGTTAATATAATTATTATTTGAATTTTGAGTTTGAAAAACTCCTACAGTACTATTAGTACTGTAATATCTTTAATGGACTATGTTATTTTGTTATTAAACATTTTGTTCATCAAATGTAAAGTGGATTTGCTTTGTTTTACTCAGAAAGACTGGTGGTGGTAGCTGAACACTGTGAACGGAGTCTAGAAGACTTGCTTCGAGAGAGGAAACCCGTGAGGTACTGTGTAATATCAGGACAATTAAATGAAAAGCAGAAATTGGCAAACAAAAAAGCATAACAAGAAACTGCAGAGTTTTCATTTCTTCTGTTACTTGTTTAATGATAAAATCCAGGTACAAATTTTTATTTTAGGAAATTTAATTCACAGGCCCCATAGAAATTCAACATTGACATTGTCCAGCGTTCAGTTTTTGTGAGGTAGGCATTCTCCAAAGTACTTGACAAAAAAAAATTCCTGAAGAGGATATATATGAAAATTTGAAATGTTTTCAGTACTAAGCATTTCTCTAGTTGAGATTGAGAGTATTTTCCTGGGAGTGGTACATAGTAACTACTAACAGGATGCTGGTATTCCTAGGGACACAGTGAACTGTTGTTGTTTTTTTTTTTTAAAGATTTTATTTATTTATTTGAGATAGAATGAGAGAGAGAGAGAGAGCACATGAGAGGGGGGAGGGTCAGAGGGAGAAGCAGACTCCCCGCTGAGCAGGGAGCCCGCTGCGGGACTCGATCCCGGGACTCCAGGATCATGACCTGAGCCGAAGGCAGTCGCTTAACCAACTGAGCCACCCAGGCGCCCCACAGTGAACTGTTTTAAGGAAAGGCCATGTTGAAGAGTAGAGAGAAATAATATTCATAGCTTGGGTAGAATCTAATGATATAGTTTAAATTCAGTTATTTCAATGACTCAGTAATTTTACTTTCTGTCTCAGGCATTCTTGGCAAGAAGAGTATGTGGTATATATATTATTACAAATATACTACTAAATGAATTTCTTTATACATTTTCTGAAATGATCTTAAAATCATGAAAAATATCCCTTTAATGAATAAAGAAAGTTGTACTAAGCCAATGAAAAATGCTTGCCACGAGTCTTTTTAGGATTATAATTATCCATCCTCTTTTAAGGAAATATTCTCATTCTTGGTCATTGCTTTTTAATCACTGCTATATCCTAGATGAAAACAAATTTTTTTCAAAGGAGGAAAAAATGTGTATATTGCTAAATGGTAGTTATTTAATAAAAGCAAAAATAAACTGAATAAAAATACTTCCCTTGATACTTTAAAAGATTTGGTTTTAAGTGTTCTCTAGAATGGGAGATTCAGATACCAAGTATACCCACCTTACTTGCTTCTTTGGAAGAGTCTAATCTGACCATACGTAATAAAAGTGACTTTTCTATATATTTAGAAATAGCCTAACCTTATGTAGTGAGTATGTTTTTATAATTATAATTTTTACATGTCACAGTCTTTGACTTTATGTTTTTAAGAACATATTATTCTTTTTTTTTTTTATAAGTAGTATTCTTTTTTTTTTTTTTAAGATTTTATTTATTTTTTAGAGAGCGAGCGAGAGAGAAACAGCATGAGAGGGGAGAGGGTCAGAGGGAGAAGCAGGCTCCCCGCTGAGCCGGGAGCCCGATGTGGGACTCGATCCCAGGACCCTGGGATCATGACCTGAGCCGAAGGCAGACGCTTAACCATCTGAGCCACCCAGGCGCCCAAGAACATATTATTCTGATACTAGTTCTAGAATGATCAAAACTTATGGTGATAGATATAAAAACAGTATTCAACTCTGGTTGGGAGAAGGAGTAATATAAGAACTGATTCAAAATAGCCTTGAGGAAACTATCTGGAGTAATGGAAATTTTTTACATCTTGATCAAGGTATTACTTATGTGGTGCATGTTCTTGCTAAACTTTTCAAAATTCACTGAACACACTTCAGATGTGTGCGTTTCACCTACGTAAATTATGCCTGAATTTAAAAAAAAACCAAAAAACAAAAAAACGAAACCCTGATCCGGTATTTACCGGATCCCTCATATAGCAACAATATTATGTTGTTAATGAAGGTATTTGATCCAATTGCTAACCTATTTGTATTTCTTTCTATTAGAAGAAATAGTATGAATTAATTGTGCTGCTTAACCAATACCTCACCACTTAGTGGTTTAAAAACCATAAACATTTATCATTTCGTATCATTTCTCTGGGTCAAGAATTCAGGAATGAATTAGCTAGATGTTTTTAACTCAGGATCTCATGAGGTTGCAGTCAACTGGGGCTGTCATCATCTGAAAGCTTCACAGGCTGGATGAACTCATTCATTTGGTGCCAGTTGTTGACAGTAAGCTTTAATTCTTCCCCATCTTGAGGGCCTTTTGACACTGGTCTCTTGTCTATCCTCACAACGTGGGGTTGGCTTCTCTCAGAGTGAACAATTGAAGAGAGAAAAGAAAGCAAGGTGGAAGCTTCAATGCCTTTTATGACCTACCCTCAGGAACCACACACCATCATTTCTGCAATTGTCTATTGGAAACAGAAGTCAGCCATTAATTCTATTCACTGTGGAGGGGTCTACATAGGAATGTGAATCTCAGAAGTCAGGGGTCATTGGGGATCACCTTAGAGGCTGGCTATCACAAAAGTCTTAGCAATCATACAAGTACTTAAAAAAAAAAAAATCAGGAGTGAAATACTAACCAACATCAACACTAACTGAAAAATAACCAAAGTTCTTAAAATTATTCAGTATTGATTTAGGCTACTTGAGCCAGAAGAAAGGAAGATGTTTACATTGTGAAGAGAAGGTAGAGTATTAAGGGAATATCCAGAAGTACTAAAGGTGGAATACGGTCTTCATGGACATGGCTATACTAAGATCAGAATCGATCCATATTCTGAAAATTGATGTTACCCATGGGCTTGTGCTCCCAGCCATGCTGGAGGACCCTATAAGCTACAACTAGAGTAGTTCTCTGGTCATCAGGGTGGTAGTAACTATAGAATGTTCCTTCTGATCTTGAAATTTCCCTCTCTGCCCATACTCGTCCTTCCTTTGCTTACTAAAAAAACTGAGGCAGAAGAGAGAAGCTGGTGACTCAGAAGACAAATTTCCATTTTCATCATTTTACCTCAACTCTCTCCTTTTACTTTTTTTTTTTTTTTTACTTCCAATTGTTCTATGTAAGGATACAATTGATACTGCTTTGCCAATAAGATTAAATCCATTAGCTTGTGGAAAGTTTTACTTTTCTGTGTTCATCATCCTTTATCCTTGTTTTAGATATAAGTCTGATAGCACTGAACACTAGTAGTGTCAATAGTATGAAGGTGTAAAGAGGCCACCTTTCTTCAGTATGTCTTCATAAAGATAAAATCTTACAGATGGAAGCATATTCTTTGAGTAGATAGATAAACATGAATAGGATTAAATGCAAACTTCATATTGTCTTTCATGCCATTTACATTTCTAATAGTCTTTTTCATTTATATAAAATGGGACATACTACTGTATATTTTTATGGGTCTTCATAATTTCTTCAAGTAAGATACATTTAAACATTTTTGTAAGTAAAGTACTATTTTCTAATCCTTCTGGTAACAGACTAAAATTCAGTATTTTCCTCATTCATTTTGGAATATAACATTCAGCACTCACTGCCTTTGAGTAGACATGATTCTGTCAGGTTCAGTTCCAAGTTGTTATCTGATCCATCCATCTAAATTAGCTTTGTTGAAAACTATTTGACTTTCCACATATTTGGATTACATTAGTCTCCAGTAACAGAGCAGATTTCATGTGCAGAGTTGCTGTGCTGTAATTTTAATTAATTCTATAACCTGTTTATGGAAAGTGAGAAGATGTTCTTATGGCTTATAAATCATATACATTTCCCCTACTGCCAAAAGTAAGCACCCCGCACCTGTAAGAGAGGCTGATGCAAAGTAAGCAGGAAATCTATTTAGATGGGCTTACAGTTTGAGACCCATGATTTTTACTTGTCCATCTGTCTCTAACTGTTGTAAAACTGTAAGCTGCCAGTTGTCTGGTAGTTATTTGCAGCTCATTGTCTAAACTTAAATATCATCCAAGGCATATGTCTTACTGGATTTATATTTTGAAGAAAATTTAACTCTTGTAAAATTGGTGAGACGGGAAGTGGGGAAATGAAAACTAGAAACTTATAGAAGCAACTAGTGTCAATTTACTCACTTTTTTCATAACACATTTAATATCATTGAACTAAGCAATATTGTACTAAAACATCATAGTAGTAATTCGTATTACAAATATAACTTAAGACTATCTTGAGGTTTCAGATCGCTCTAGAAAACCAAGCATCTTTTTTTTTTTTTAATATTCTAATAGCCCTAAAACTCTCTTGAGAATTCATGTTATCCAAACAGAAAATAATGATTTTGTGCTATGACCTGGAGGTATTTATCAAGTCAGTCTCTTATAAAATAATGTTATTTGTACAGATAGTTGCTGATCTGGTTTGAAAGAGAAAACTCACCATTTTCTTTATAGTTTATTCAAGCTTGAATATGAGGAATTAATTTTTGGAGAATGCAGCTCTCTTTTCAGTGGCTTTTATATGTTACTTGTGCCAGAGTTTGATCTTGCCAATATTTCCTCCACTTTCAGTTAAATGATCAAAATTATTTGTTGGACACATAGAAGCATGGAATTGAGTTAAACTCCTATAACAGTAGGTTTCAAGAAACAAAGTACAGCATTTGGAAGGTTTGTTTGAAGTCATCTCATATTTGGTGCCTGTGAATCTATTTAATTGCTACCCTAAAGCCATATTCAAGAAACTGAAAGTGGGGAAATTTAAATCTCAACTCCTTTCTGAAATATTTTCCGAGAATGTTAAAAAGAGAGACATACCTTCATCACTTCTATTAAAGCAAGCATGAGGAAATGGTTTGCCTTTTAAGTCTAAGTGCTATTTGGAAAGTATTTCCCTTTTGTATTAGTGTTATTCAGAGCATGTACTTTTGCCTAATCTGTAACAGTGTCAGCAAGTGTAGTTCATAGACAGATATTCAGCAGAGTTTTGGCACTTGGAGTAAAGTTTCTGCATTGTCCTTAAATTTGCAAGTGAAGGCAGGGTGAGTAGTGCAGGCATGTTTCTTTAATAAAATGTTTGTCGTATGTTTTTAGGGTTATGGTTTTGAAGATTTACCAGAGAACC